CTCGTGTTCGGGAATCGTCGACATGGTCAGCTGCATTCTGTCTGCCTCCGTGGACTCAGCAGTACTCACGTCCAGTGAGACATTGCCGGCATAAAACTGTCTCATTAAGTCAGATACACCTATCTGTTCCAGTGAGACATTGCCGGCATAAACGTCCTCATTAAAGTCATTAACTGTCTCATTAGAAACATTTGCCTGTTCTAGTGAGACACTATGTCAGATACACCGCTCTGTTCTAGTGAGGCACTGATGTCAGATACACCCGCTCTGTTCTAGTGAGACACTGATGTCAGCCACGCTCTCCTCTTCCAGTGAGACATTTCCAGTAGAATCTGTCTCGGTATAGGAAGACAGAGGACTAGAGGTCATTGAGTCACTGCCACCATGAACCGTCTCAGTACAGTCAGGCATATGTATCTGAGACAATGAGACATTTCCAACACAACCCGTCTCAGTGTGTTCGAGCACATCCATTCGATGCAATGACACATTTCCAATACATTCCGTCTCGGTATAGTCAGGTACATGCATCTGAGACAATGAGACATTTCCAACACATCCCGTGTCTATGCGGGCAGGCAGGGGAGTAGAGGTCATTGAGAGAACATTGCCACCCTTAACCATCTCATTGTAAGCAGGCACAGGAACCTTTACCTCCAGTGAGACAGTGTCACCATGATGCGTCTCAGTGTAGTCAGACACATTCGGGTGAGGCAATGAGACATTTACAACACATCCCGTGTCTATGCAGGCAGGCAGGGACTAGCAGTCATTGAAACATTTCCAACACATCCCGTCACACGTATAGTCAGGTACATCTATCTGAAGCGATGAGACATTTTCAACACAACCCGTCTCAGTACAGGCAGATACATCCATCTGAGGCAATGAGACATTTTCAACACACCCCGTCACAGTATAGTCAGGTACATCTATCTGAGGCGATGAGACATTTTCAACACAACCTGTCTCAGTACATGCAGATACATCCATCTGAGACAATAAGACATTTCCAACACAACCCGTCTCCGTATAGTCAGGCTGGGACTAGAAGCAGTGACAGCAGATTACCAGCGTACACCGTCTCATTGCAGGCAGATGTGTCGAGTAACGACGACCAATGCACTCCTCTTCGTCTCTCCACCCAATGCCGTCTCCGAGCGCCCCATGACCCCCGCGCTCACAGCATCAGCTGCAGGAATCGAATACACGACCCCGCCACTCGCGGAATCTGCTGCCGAATCCGCCGCGTGATGAGTTCATCGCTGGACTGTCGATCATCGCTTGTGAATCTACTGCCGGGATCCCGCGCGTGATGACTTCATCGCTGGACTGTCGATCGTCGCTTGTGGAATTACTGCCGGATCCGCGCGACACCCCGCAGCATCGTCGTCGGAGCGCCGGCGGACACACGCTACCGGCGCCACCTCTGCGTCGTCCTCCTCCTCTTCGTCTCTCCCACAGCAGGTAACATGACCTCCTCGGACCGCGACGCGTGAATCCTCGACCCCCGCACTCGCAGCATCTTCTGCAGGAACCCACGCGATACGGGATTACTAGAGCGCCGGTGGATGCACGCCACCGGTGCCGCCTCGGCGTCGTCGACGACGCGGAAAGTCGGGGCGTCGCCGCCGTCTATCGAATCCGCCGTCGTCGCGTCGCTTTGCGAGAGGTCATAGAGGTCGCTGGAAAGGTCACAGAGGTCGCTGGAGAGGTCGCTCAGGTCGATCGCGTCGTCGTCGCCGAAATACGCGTGGGGGCTCCTGACGTCCTTCTCCGCGCCGCGCCGCCGACGACCGAAGAGAAGAAACCCAACGACGTGCCGCCCCAGGCGAACGCCCCGTTCACGATCTCGCCGCTGCAGTAGGGAGGATGCGGAGGAGGGGGAGGAGGGGAGGAGAATCGGCTTCCCGCAGCGACACCGCTGGCAGTCCTGCGGCGAGAAGAGTGACGTCGCGCGCGGACAGGGGGCGCCGCCGTGATCCCGCGACTTGAACGGCGCGACGCTTGCAGCGGAGACCGCTTCCTCTTGCGGCCGACGCCGCCAGAACCTCCAGGGAGATTCCACGAGGGAGGAGAGAGATTCCCCGAGGAGGAGCCGATCGAAGACTCGTCCCTCCTTCCCGTCCGCCACACTGCGAGGCTCGTGTTCCGCGAACGTCCGCACGGAGGCATCGAATGCTCTCCTGTCGGACGCGCGGCGGCGCACCGCCCCGACGCGCGCCTCACGAGACGCCGGGCGGCCGGACCGACGCCGCGCGCGCGTGGCGCCGGCGGCTTTGACCTCGACGACGCCGTTCTCGGCGATGAGGTCGAGCCGCGGTCGTCGTTTTCGTCGCCGTGGCGACTGGCGTCTTCCTCCCTCCCTGTGGCGCCGCGCCGCGCGCACTGTCGTCCCTCCACAGTTTCCTCAGGATGAACATGGGGCAGAGGTTGCGCGTCTAGAATGTGGTTTCGATTTTGTTCGGCTGTAAAATGTTGTAAAATGTTGTGGGTGTAAAATGTTGTAAAATGTTGTCGGTGTAAAATGGTGTTAAATGTTGTCAAATGTTGTAAAATG